AACGAGAAAAAGTCAAAAGATAAGTATTTGTCTTGGTAAGGATGCCCTCTTTCTTAAAGGTGAACCGTTTCACTGCTGAAACGCCCTGATCCTGTAATTCTAAAGCAATGTCTTCCTCTGACAGATGAGCGGATGATTCCACGGTAAGAGTTCTGTGTCCTGTGCACAGACACAGCAACCACTATATTTGCAAACGTCTTGATAGACAACAGATTGAGAGATTGCTGTCTCCATGCACACTCCACAAGAAGCGAGCCACTACGGAGACGCGTAACATTTTGAACTGCTCCAAAGATGCCAGATGTAGCCTTTGAAATGGCGAACGGGTTTAGTTTCATTCGGAGAAAGTTTTCAGCTTCAACTTCCAGAAATCTTGCCCAGGAGTCAGTATTTGATGAACTAGTTTCATTAGGCCGATCTAGTCCGTCCAATCGTCGCTTTTTTTTTTCATTCCTAATTGAACCAGCTTGTTGGAGTAGCATGGTGAAAGGAGAATTATTCAGCACCCCTGCTCTCCACCCACCACGGAGTGTCAACAAGGACAGTGTCAATATGCACCGGATATCCGAGATGCTGACACTAGGGATACAGGGGTGTTTTACTCCAGAGAAAACGACACAAATAGGTGCATTTGTCTACCAATTTCATTCCCGACTGGTTCGGCCCAAGACAAGAAATTAGAGACATACTTCATTTGGAGGTCATTATCACCAGATTGGCCCATGAGCCACCGCCTTCTGGCATAGGACTCTAGGCAAATAGATATAATAACAAAATTATGAAATACAACATTCAATATCACCATTATATAATTGTACATTCATATAAATTCGAATGTTTCCATGCGCAGGGCACGGCGTGACCAGCCGATTGATAGAATCGAGCCAATTCTACCTACCGTCTAGGTGAAGTAAGGGGCGAAGTGGTGTGTTGGGCAAAAGGAACACTGTCCTAGTGCCCTCAACCACCAGACTCCCGTCCTCCCCCGACACACGGCAAACAGGTTGGTGGACCAAATATACCCCCGGGTCCACACGGGGGGTTGAAGAGCGCTTAGCGTTACCCAGCACCCACCACGAGGAGGTGGCTCTTCACGGGTGCCCTACAGCGCTAGACGTTATACAAACAGGTGATAAATTCTGTTATACGTCGATTGATATATTGTAGACGCAGGAAGAGCATGTACTGTATTTCAAAACAATAGAGGCACCTTAGTGAGCTAGATATGTCCCGTGTGACGGGTAAATCTGTACTGCCTGGAAAAGCGGGTCTGTAAGACAGGCAGTGGATGTCAACGATGGGAGTAGCGTAGATATAGAGCACTGACTATGTCATCGTTGATGTGTGAATGCAGGGTATGTCTGTACCATAGCACTAACTGGTAGGCAAGGTTATAATTCGTTTCATTTAAGTAACAGGTAACTGGTCATCGTATGCGTGAGAACCGGGAAGATCCGGTTTACTACGCTTGTCGTAAGAGGTTAGTATGCTTGTCGTAAGAAGCGACTCACGATCGGGTGGTCAGGCTCGCTGACTTGGTTGACACGTGTCATCGAATTCCAATTGCGGAGATCAATGCTCATGATGTTGACCACTGGATTGTCGGTCCAGACTCGATTATTTACAGAGTGCCGCCATTTAGGTGTCCCCCCACTTTGCCAGTTTCATAGTCAAGCAATTAAGTAAAGTTGATGGTGCAACAAAGGGGATTAAATTAGTAACGGGTTAGTACGGGATTAAATTAGTAATGGGTTAGTACGGGATTAAATTAGTAACGGGTTAGTACGGGATTAAAACTCACGTCAGTTCAACACTTTGCCAGTTTATTTTATTCACCAAAATGTACAACCAATCTATATAATTCATGTTATAAATAAAGCTACAGATATACAAAAATAAACAAATTATACAGATATAACTTATAGTCACGTAATGTATCTTCAACATATTTATCATTTTAAGCAGATGATTAGTGTTATAAGTTCAGTTACATATAAATACATGAAACATATATAACTTATAGTCATGTAATGTCATTTTAATCAAATGCAAACACAATACAAATATTTACAACCCCACTATGTGGGAGACAGCATAAGAAATTGATAACTGAAGCTGCAAATTGTGAACACTTATTGGCTAAAATTGTTTTGCATGTGGTGAACACTGTTCATGGCTCACCACGCTCAGCAATAACCAGCCAGGCCTGACCTTGCTAATTAGGGTGTGAACTATTTAGAGAATAACCAACTCGGTACGAGTGATTACGGGAAATATGCCCGAGTTGAAATAATGTTTGTTGCCATGTTTGTTTACAAACAAACGATTGTTTTTTGTTGTTTTTTAAGGTTATGTATTTTAAAAAGACTACTATTTATAACGCAATTTTATTGCAAAACAATGACGTCTAATAAAAAGATTATTCATACTCTTTAACCCTTATGTTTTCTTTTTTTAAATCTCGGAAGGTGAGTACAGCACGTTCTAATTATCAATGAAACGATGAAAGTTGTCAATGAACTTGGATCATGAAAAGTAGTTCCGTCAACCAATCATATTTCTTCTCTGCTTAGCTGACCAATCAACGTTGAGAATCACTGAAAAGCACATGTGCGATTATCACAAAAATGCTCACCTGTGTATCCTAGCCCGTATGGGTAATAAAATCCGATATTCGTTAATTGTGGCAGGATAACTACTGGCAAAGTGGGAGTAAATCGCCACATAGCTGGATTATTTCTAGGCGCGGCGTGAAAAAACAAACAAAGTAACATTATGCTTGATTACAGGCTTCAAGTACTGTAGCATTGTAGTACTGTAATATTGTAGTATTGTAGTACTGTAGTATTGTAGTAATGCAGTGTTGTAGTATTGTATTACTGTAGCATTGTAGTACTGTAGTATTGTAGTACTGTAATATTGTAGTATCGTAGTATTGTAGTGCTGTAGTATTGTAGTACTGTAGTACTGTAATATTGTAGTACTGTAGTATTGTAGTACTGTAATATTGGAGGAGGAAGGGCTGCACGAATAAGTTCACTGAGAGTAGCCATGGCCATGGTTCCGTAGGACACTCAACATAAACAATCATGTAGAGAAACTGAAACAGGTTTCATAACGGGTATAGCGTTATAGAACTTCGTGTTCAGAATAAGAAATGCCCTTGACATGATTTCTTGTGTTAAGTTCATCCCTTCCTTACATATGAGCAACATCTTAGATATTAGTGTAAATCAAGCTGAGCTTGATGAGCTTGAAGGGGACCGAGACTCCCGACCATGTGATGTTTGCAGTGCTGGAGCATTTTTTTCAGCAAGGGCCCGGAGGCGCCATGTGAAAAAGTATCACACAGCCTTTGTTCATTTATTCTCATACATAACATGTGTACGGAGATTTCGGGCGAGGACAGACCTCCATCGGCACTTGAATGTAATGGTAGGGTTATTTTCTTAGAAGAAATTAGGCTTGTTTTTAGGGTTCGGACACCGTTAGGCATAGGCTGGGCTAAAAAGAATACACCAAGCTTAGGCTTCAGTGGGCTGGACCATTTAGCTCTTGGGGGATAAGGACCCACTGAACATGTGCCTAGTATGCTTCTTCCCCATTGTTATGCAGTGGGATGGGCCAGTGCATGAGCATCTCATGAGCAGAGGGATCAGTCCACTGAACCTTTCTTTTGTAGGCATTTATTGGGTAATTTTCAGAGCATATTTTTTATTGGGTAAGAGTTGCAGGGAACATTATTTTGGAGAATTAAGTTGGGATAAGGGGCAATAGTATAGGTATATTTAATAGGGTTTTCACTTTTCTAAGGATCCTTAGAGGTATTATTATTTTTGTTGTTTATATAACTTTGTTTATTGTTGATTTTAAGATATATATTAGTGGAGTTTGAAATAAATTTATTTGGTTTGCAAAATCTTGTGTTTGGCTGTCATTGTGAAGTTAAACCCCTGAATCCAGCGGACCTGAGGACCCGAAATAGGATCCTCCTGTTACAGAAGTATTGTAGTACTGTGGTATTGTAATGTAGTACTGTAGTATTGTAGTACTGTAGTACTGTAGTACTGTAGTACTATATTATTGTAGTACTGTAGTATTAAAGGACTGTAGTATTGCAATGTAGTATTGTAGTACTGTAGTACTGTAGTATTGTAGCATTGCAGTACTGTAGTATTGTAGTACTGTAGTATTATAGTATTGTAGTACTGTAGTATTGTAGTACTATAGTATTCTAGTATTGTAGTACTTTAGTGCTGTAGTATTGTAGTACTGTAGTATTTTAGTATTGTAATACTGTAGTACTGGAGTATTGTGGTGTGTTTTAGTGTGACCCCTGTACATAATGTAGTATTGTAGTAAATAATGGAGTGAGAAAGGTCGGCGAATTGACTGCTGCCTTGCATTAGGAATGGACCAGGATTCCTCCGAATCAAATCTGATCTGATCAAGATTGACCAAGGAGGCGTCTTGATTCAGTTGTTCGTCTGCAAGGGGCCAACACAAGATACTGGTGGAAAGTCAGTATTTGGACTTGTAAGACAATAGTAGACTTTATTTCCGTGAATACGAGGTATAGTGGTACTGACAGTTAAGTCTGTGCAAGAAAAATGAAATTCGTAGTGTGTTTTTTTATGCGCATGTTAACAACAGTAAAGTAAAGTTGCTCTGTCTAAGAAAATACAGGTTTTGCTTAATTAATTCCCACGCGTATATATTGAAAGCAATTGAGTTCCGTTTTCCAATAAAGCTAAAGCTGTTTCAGTAATATATATTTTTTTCTGACGGACCGGAACTAGAAATGTGCAATTAACACGGAACACTGGGATTGATTATGTATATATAATGTATGCCCAACACATGTCGACTGAAATGCACCCCATTTCATTTACAATGTTTTGTGTAAGACTTCAAGCTGTTTCTACATGACCATAACGATCGACACACGTGACAACCAGTACAGTGAGAAGATAACACAGGTCAAGCTGACATGGACTGTATGACAGCAGATATCACGTACTACCTTCATGTCCCTTGTTGAGCAACTACATGTATGTTATCATGCGGTTAGTATAACCTATGATATTACACCATCCACTATTTCTCTAAGTTTTACTATGTGTGTATACAATACTAAAATAATCTCTCCCCCCCCCCTCTCTCTCTCTCATGTGTGTATAGTATCAGTGTGTATGGTTTGAAATGTGTATCCATGCAAGCATTAAAAGTAAAATGACAAATACAATAAGTATGTGTGTATTTATTTTTTCAGTCGGCGCAGACGGACAAGAAGGTAACAGATTTACATTTCAATTTCACATTTGCTATTAACCTGTGATAGTACATGATCTCAAAACATACATTGTTTAGTATGATGAATAATAAGTATGATCATAAAAGGTCGATTCTCATAAATATTATAGTCTTTCCACGCTAAGGTATGTATTAACATAGCAGTTATGCTTTAACAATACTAGGGCTTGGCGCGCACTGATTCATAAATATATACAGTGGTAACAATAATACCAGTACAACCTTATGTATTACTAATCAAATAATAATAAGTAATTTATAAGAAACTAGTGATGTTTAACTGTGCGTGTTGCATAAATAGATTTTGTAGATTATACTTTGTTATATTTTATTACCGGTTGATTAACTGATCAATTCAGTGACTGATACTATAAATGTCACCTCAAAACACACCCGCAGCTTGTCATTTGATATGACTCGCCCCTGCGACATTATCTATCCAAACGTGTCCTATGCAATAATACAAACACTGGTAAATATGCTGCACAGTACAATGTTATGTAATCAAACCGATATATCTGACTATGAATAGAAATGCAGTGTACTTAAACATACCGTTCAAAGACTTTATGCGATTACAGCATTGAAATATACCCCAGGTCTTGTTCAAGTGTAAAGAAAATAAACCATGTAAGTAATGCGGGAGCGTAAACTCAACTGTCAGACTTACGGATTTTCTTGGACCTGAAATATCATACTCACAGACTAGATGTAATACAATAATGCACATTATTCACAAAGATTCGCATGTATTATGTCTAATGTGTATGTCAGGTAAGGTAAGGTAATTGTAACAAAATGGTTCTTAAAATAGTGAATGCTTATACATTAAATAGAGAGCGCCACCATAACTGCTTAAACTGATCAATGAGAACGAATTCTACGTTCTTTTTAAGCCATACAATGTTAGGTACAGATTGGGTGAGCGAAATATAATACAATCCTGTATTGTTGGATACGCTTGACACGTGATAACATTTTAGCCCAGTTTGATATAAGATCTGGAGTGTATTGCTTAAAATTCTTCGAACTGCGTACAGATCCTTTTGTGCACTCCTCTGGAGGTAACTTAATGAAACTTTAAAAGATAATGGTCCTTTTTACACATCTCTTTATTACACTCAGTGAGTTACATGATTAAGTACATTCAAAATAAGATACAGTATCAAACAGAACTGAGAAACCTCTAGCTGATAAGTCGGCACTCGTATCAAGATAAACGTTGACATTGGTAGTAACAGCTGACATACATTCAAATTTACAAACGGCTATAGAGGAGACAACTAATATATGGGCAAAAGAGTTAAGGCATCTTTTGTAGTACATTCCATTTTCTGTTGAATAGACTGATTCTATCATGTTTGATAGCAATGTATTTTTCTACTGTGAAGACGTCTTTTAGGGTAACTTTAAAAGAATTAATACATGGTTTAAACCCTTTGCTGTTCATAACAAATATATGTCGTTTGGCTAGAATGATCATATGAGTAAGTAAACTGTCAACACGGGAAGAAAAAAGAATGTCATTGTTTGTTATTTCAATATGTTTTCCGAATATTATGTTAACATAGTTGTTAAAATCGTCCCAGGAGGATTTGACATATGGACATTTTATATGCACATGGTCGATATTTTCGCCTTCTGTTCCACAGAAAGTGCACAAATCGGAATCAACCAGTTTCATTTTTAGGTTCAGTTTCTTTTTTGGTATAAATTATTCTATGCAAAAAATTGTATTGAAATTCTAATAGTTTTGTATCACTTATGGCTTTTCCATATCTTGAAATGATATAGTCACGAAAGTGGTTGTTTAACCACAGCGGTTGCATTAAAATGTCGTTGATATCATCAGTATTAACCGAAAAGATCTTTACATATTTACTCCACGCCTTTGGAACATCATTCCAGAAGGGTTTTTTATTTTCAAGTAAAGCGGGATATTTGCACCGAAATGGAAGATATAGTCTAACCGAAAACCAGAGAGGGCATATTGTTTCTGTTTAGTGATGTATCTTTTTAGACATGACATTTTTAGCGAATCATTGAATTTTTTAATATCAATCATTCTTAGTCCTTCATCTTCATAATTCCGCATAAGATTGATTCGTTTTAAATTGTCCTTTTTGTCGTTCCATATAAACTTGAAAAAGTGAGTGTTTAATTCTGCGTTAAAATCGGGAGATGGGTTTGGAAGGGAGGTAAAGATATGAACTATGGTTGATACGGCCAACGTTTTAATTACGGGAATGTTACCGATCAAAGTCAAATTACGTTTACGCCATTTTGAAATAATTCTTTTGATGTTATCTCGTCTTTTTCTAGTGTTGATAACCCACAGGTTTTGTAAAGAAGCTTTCAGTGTTATTCCCAATACTCTCAAAGTTTCCTACATGCCAATCTAGATTAAGGTCGAGGGTTAGTTTTATCTTACTTCCAGCGATTGATTCAAGCCATACTGCCTTAGTTTTATCTTACTTCCAGCAAGTGATCCAAGCCATACTGCCTTAGTTTTATCTTACTTCCAGCGAGTGATCCAAGCCATACTGCCTTAGTTTTATCTTACTTCCAGCGAGTGATCCAAGCCATACTGCCTTAGTTTTATCTTACTTCCAGCGATTGATCCAAGCCATACTGCCTTAGTTTTATCTTACTTCCAGCGAGTGATCCAAGCCATACTGCCTTAGTTTTATCTTACTTCCAGCGAGTGATCCAAGCCATACTGCCTTCGTTTTATCTTACTTCCAGCGATTGATCCAAGCTATACTGCCTTAGTTTTATCTTACTTCCAGCGAGTGATCCAAGCCATACTGCCTTAGTTTTATCTTACTTCCAGCGAGTGATCCAAGCCATACTGCCTTAGTTTTATCTTACTTCCAGCGAGTGATCCAAGCCATACTGCCTTAGTTTTATCTTACTTCCAGCGAGTGATCCAAGCCATACTGCCTTAGTTTTATCCACGTTTATTTTCAGTCCAGACATTATAAAAGCTTGATAGAGTGTCTATTGCTTCCTTAAGAGAGGTCTCTGATCCATCTAAATATAATTCCGTATCATCAGCATTTTGACCTAAAACGTATTCGATATCATTTAAGGTGACACCTTTTATTTCGACATTATTACGAATCATAGTCCCTAGTATTTCTGCGACGAACAAAAACAAGTACGGTGAAATTGGGTCTCCTTGTCTGCAACCTCTTTCGTTTTGGAAGAAAGTAGATAAATGTCCATTTTGTACAATACAAGCAGTTGCTATACTGCCTTAGTTTTATCTTACTTCCAGCGAGTGATCCAAGCCATACTGCCTTAGTTTTATCTTACTTCCAGCGATTGATCCAAGCTATACTGCCTTAGTTTTATCTTACTTCCAGCGATTGATCCAAGCCATACTGCCTTAGTTTTATCTTACTTCCAGCGAGTGATCCAAGCCATACTGCCTTAGTTTTATCTTACTTCCAGCGATTGATCCAAGCCATACTGCCTTAGTTTTATCTTACTTCCAGCGATTGATCCAAGCTATACTGCCTTAGTTTTATCTTACTTCCAGCGAGTGATCCAAGCCATACTGCCTTAGTTTTATCTTACTTCCAGCGAGTGATCCAAGCCATACTGCCTTAGTTTTATCTTACTTCCAGCGAGTGATCCAAGCCATACTGCCTTAGTTTTGTCTTACTTCCAGCGAGTGATCCAAGCCATACTGCCTTAGTTTTATCTTACTTCCAGCGATTGATCCAAGCCATACTGCCTTAGTTTTATCCACGTTTATTTTCAGTCCAGACATTATAAAAGCTTGATAGAGTGTCTATTGCTTCCTTAAGAGAGGTCTCTGATCCATCTAAATATAATTCCGTATCATCAGCATTTTGACCTAAAACGTATTCGATATCATTTAAGGTGACACCTTTTATTTCGACATTATTACGAATCATAGTCCCTAGTATTTCTGCGACGAACAAAAACAAGTACGGTGAAATTGGGTCTCCTTGTCTGCAACCACTTTCGTTTTGGAAGAAAGTAGATAAATGTCCATTTTGTACAATACAAGCAGTTGCGTTCGACACTAGGATACTAACCCATTTCTGTAATTTGTTACCAAAGCCGAATTTATTCAGGACCATCATAATAAACTCTTTAGAAACCGTGTCAAATGCTTTTTCAAAATCTATCAGTATTAATAGAGCTTTTTTGTTTAATCTCTTAGTTTCAAACATAATATCGTAGATAAGTCTTATGTTATCGGATATGCATCGTCCTGGAATAAAACCCATTTGATTTTCATTGATGAAAAGATTTAATGTCCTTTTTAGCCTGTTTGTGATACAAGTGCTTACGATTTTGTACAGTTCTATTTTGGCCTCGGATAGTTTAGCAAAGGTCAATTCGCTGTCATTTTGAAAATCGTTTCTCATTTCGTCTTCTAAAAGGATAATATTCTCTTCTAAACGCTTAACACAATGTGTGAAGCCCATTTCTGGTGTCCCCCGCCGTGATATTGCTGGAATATTGCTAAAAGCGGTGTAAAACCATACTCACTCACACTCACTCTAAACGCTTAAGATTTTTTTGTCTCTCTTTCTTCAAGAACGATGCAAACGATATAGATTTTCCTCTGACTTTCTAAAAACAGTTGATCACTGATTGTGAGATTAAGATTTCCACCCCTTATATCTTTTATCTCTTTGTATTTAGTGTCTGCGTATTTAAGTTTCGTTTCCTCCAATAAGTCTGACACTACTTTAATGTAATCTTCCTTTCGTAATAAAGAGGTGTTCAATTCCGATATCTACGGCCCTTTTCTTTGATTTTAGATGTAGACAACGAAATCGTAATAGCGGAATGGTCTGATTTATAGCCCGGTTGGATCGTGGCTTTTAAAGTAATGTTAAATAGGTTTTCTGTAATTAAGAAATTGTCCAGTCTAGCCTGTTGTTGTGGATTTCTTTTCCACCACGTTTTTTTCTTCAACTCTGGGTTTAGTTCTCT